CTGGGGGCCTCCCTCCCCACCTTGAAGCGCGCGATGATCAACCGCGGTCTGGCGCGGAAAGGGGCTCCGAACAGGCGGCAGGGACGAAGAGGATGAACTGGATCGCTGAGGGCTTCGACGGACAGTGGTGAGCTTCAACTCCAAACATCAAAGCCAATGAGGGGTACAAGTTACTCCTCTTACCCCCGAACATGCACTGAGTGGAGACTGTGCCCCATTCACAGAGTAAACCATTATGATGGTTACCTCCGACTGGACAGAGACAGAAATGATGATTGTATATATGCAGGTCAATTCAGCAAGTAAAGTTTCATGTAAAACTGGAATAAGGCTTCTTCCAAGCCCGCCACAGAGCATCAGAGCACACCAGTCCCAGCTCCCAGCGCTTGGGGGTGGGGTGTGCCCTTCCTTGTGTGTCTCCTCAATGTATTTTAGGTGGTGGACCAGAAGGCAAGTGTAACATTCTGGTGCAGTGTATTTGTGTATTTCAATGTATGATCTGTTCAGTTCTTTTTTTCTATATAGTTATTTTATTATTAGAAATTAAATTTTAAACAATAGAAATAAATCTAGAGATGTGAAAAATATTTCTAAGAGGAGTTTGTTCCTGGCGATGGGAAATGTATGAGGGAGGGAAGGAGGGGAATGGAAGTGAGACTGAGAGGTGGGGCAGAATTCCATGCAAAACTTTCCACATTAAAAAAAATCTTGGAAATCAGATAAGAGACTGTAGAAATGGATTGCTTGTGGTACAATCTTGACTAGAAACATTTGGAAAATTGGCCCTTTTAGTAAAAATTTCACAATCCAAATGTTAAAAAAGAAAAAAACTAAAGGGAGGGAGGTGGAGAAATGAGTCACAGCTATAAACCATCTGTAGTTTAATTGTTACCTCACCTGCATCTAGTACATCTTAGCCCACAGCCACCTGCTGAACTCTCAGGTTTTCTTACACATTTGTCCAAGCATCCAATCAAAGGATTGTGATTCCACCAGGCCTTGCTTCCAGTTGTAGCCTGTACATCTTATAAAGAAATACCCTGAAGTCACCTTTTCCTATAAAGCTCCTGAGAGTGGACACCTCCTGGTTAGGATCACTAGCTTCCCAGGATGATGAACAGGCTCATAGTGACCTTAGAGATCATTAGACAAGTCATCTTATCTAAGACAAGCAGTGAAATATTTAAGATGGGTATCTAACCATTTAGACATTGAATGACTGAGCCTTCCTCACAGAGTGACTGATGAAAGGAAGAATTAGCACATTCTATGGCCACAGATATTGATGATTCCTCATTTCTAAACTTAGATTTCAGTGATTCAGGCATAAAAGAAGCAGCAGAAAGATGAACTACATCAGACTACCAAAAGGGAATTATTTACATTTCTTTTAAAAATAATTACTGTTCATCTCAGAAAAGACTAGGGTAACATGTCCTCTAAATAGAGGACTATCTACAATTCAGTAGACCAAGCAGCTCTTGAGATATTAATTATAAATTCTTCCCTGCCAAGGAGTGCTCAAGGCAAGCTCAGGTAAATTATGTATTTAATATCTGCTATAGGCCAGCAACTCTCCATCTGAAAAAAATCCCAGTGAATATACCATGTCTAATAGATTCTGAATTTAGCTCCATATCCATTTTTAAAGTAATGGATGAGACCTCTCACCATCCAGCTGCATTGCACTTCACACATAATATTTTCTGGTGTATCCTTCTGAGATGTGTAAATTTCCGCCAGAACAAGCACATCTTATAAGAGTGCGCAGAGAAAAGAGAGCACTCCTCCCAGTGATTCAGGCTCAACTACCTACTAACAGGGACTTCCAGCCTTGTTTCTCCCATCCCTTAAGTAAAAACAAGGACCCATTTCAAAGGGCTTTGTGCAAATTGAATGAAATAATACATATAAAACTGTTTACCTGCGACATAGATTCTCAACATGTAGTTACACATGCACAAAACTTGTTTGAATCCTATTAACATAGTAAAAAAGAATACTCTTCCTCTGGAATCAAGAATAAATTTGAGAAAAATGTTGAAATATGATCAACATTTTTATCTTGGTACACTATAAATGTAAAAAATGTTAATGAATTAAGTTTGAAAATATCCATTGGAATGAAAAACAGTATGTATTCTTAAGTAAATGATGCAATGAGGCTAAGGGAAGGCCTACTAGAAAATTTACCAGGGATTATACCCATTTTCTTTTGCCATAAGTGTAGCCCATAGCTTCTCCAGACTTGAGAAGAGGGTCCTCAACCAGAAAATAAAAAATATCTTCAAAGGAAAACAAGTTAAATTGTTTACCAGACTCTTATCTGAATTCTTTTGTTCCTGCTGTGAAATAGATTGATAGTCTTAAAACCCGGAGGTATCTCTGCTGGCAGCCATAGTTGCTGTTTCAAACTAGGGAGTAAATAAAAACAATGTCACTCAAAGAAAATGATCTGTCTGGTTTTGTCCTTAAAATATAGAATTTGGTGGAAGGAATACAGGAGAAAGAAAAAGGGAACAGAAACACATTTTAAAATAAAATTTTAAGGGCATTTTTGTTTCACTCTGATTTTGACTAGCACTTTGACATATTTTTAATTATTTCTCTCTCATGTGCAATTGACTAATAGTTTATTAGATTTAGCAGCAGATATGTAATACTTTCAACAATAACGATTTTTTTAAGGAGAGATGTTGCTAATTTCTGTTCATCAAATGTGCAAGTTAGAGTGCTACTCTTCTCAAGTAGATATTTTATAATATTGAATCTTGTAATATAACAAATATTTTATGAGTTCTGTATCAACTTTCTTATTCAATAATAAAGTTGATTAAATTCTTTTTACCCAAGGTTCACTGGAAGCATACTTTTTTAAAAATGCCAGAGGGGCACCTCCACCCTCTCTAAGCCCCAGTTCTCTTCTCTAGACAGATTTGTACCTGCGTGAACGCAAGGTGATAGCAATCCAAAAAGTAATTTTAAAAATTTCTAACTATGTGTTTTGTCACCATAATCATATCACAGAAGATATTAAAGAGATTTGAATGAAATGGCAGAGAAGGTGATGGTGGTAGAACACCTGTTCTGCTGTCCACGGTGCTGAATCAGTCATTGGGCATTAGCTCTTGATTCCTAGAAGTGTGGTCTCTGGCTCCGCAACATTGCCTTTACTAGAGAGCTGTTAGAATAGCAGGATCCCAGGCCCCGCCCAAACCTACTGTATCACGCTCTGCAATTGAAAACATCCTCATATGATTCATCTGTTTGCTAAAAATTTGAGAAATGCTGTACTAGGATGCAGGTCATGTTGCCTTGTGACTTTCCTGATGCTTTGTTTATATCACCCCTCATATCATCCCCTCTGGAGGTGCAGCCCCAATGCTGCCCTTTTTAGCTGCATTTAATTTGGGGATGGCAGTGTGCTGTTAAGAGAGCATAGCCTTGCCAGGCTGGTGTGGCTTAGTGGTTGAGCATCAACCTATGAACCAGGAGGTCATGGTATGGTTTCCAGTCAGGGCACATGCCCAGGGTTGTGGGCTGAATCCCCAATGGGGGGCATGCAAGAGGCAGCCAATTAATGATTCTCTCTCATTGATGTTTCTATCTCTCTCCCTCTCCCTTCCTCCTGGAAATCAATAGATTTTTTTAAGAGAGAGAGCATAGCCTTTGAGTCAAACAGCTAGGTTAAAACCTCAGCTTGTACTGACCATTCTGAGCCTCATTGTCCTCATTCATAAATGTCAATATTATTATATATCCTTAATAATGATGTTTTAAGGATTCAAAAATAATAAAATAGTATGTGTAAAGCACTTAACCTGACACAT